TTAGCCAACTCACTTTTCAGGGATAGGAATTAAAAGGGTGAGGGACAATAGGAGGATCAGTTTCCTAACCTGTGAAATGACATTGTTGGCCTAAATTACTTCTAAGGTCCCTTTGAGCTCTTAAATCTATGAGTCTGTGATTCTCTGAGTCATGCCCAAGCCCCGTTGCCAGGGGTGCTCTATGGTACTATTTGTGGGTCTCCCATTAGGAGAATGAGAAAGTGAAATGACACCTGTAGAGAGTGGGGTGAACCCCAAACATCTTAGTTTAAAAGCTATAGCTCATAGAATCATAGCATTAGGGCTGGAAAGGCTCTTAGAGGCCATCAAATCCAATTCCCCCTTCTCCTTTCTCAGAGGAAAAAACTGAGGCCCAAAGAGGTTGAGTAACTTGCATAGGGTCATAAGTGTTTGAGGTAGGACTTGAATTCAGTTCTTCCTGACTCAGTCCAGGAGCCCATACCCTATACCACACTGCCTCTAATTAGGGGTTCTTAACCTAGGTTCCATGAACTTTTTAAAATATTTTGATAACTGTATTCCAACATAATTGGTTTCCTTTGTAATCCTTTATGTCTTATTTTATGCATTTAAAAGCATTATTCTGAGAAGGGGTCCATAAGCTTCACCAGACTGCCAAAAGGGTCCATGGCATAAAAAAGGTTAAGAACCTTTATTCCAGATTTTCAACTAACTAAGCTTCCTTTAGTGGATTGTAAGCTTCACAAGGGCAGAGAATGGATCTTATCTAAACTTTGTGTCCTCAACACCTAGCACAGAGCTCAACATATGGTAGGTATTTAATAAATGTTTGTTGAATGGAAGGATGAATGGGCTGAATATTACAAAATGTTTTGGGCTTTTTACATCGTGTGGACCCTCCTTTTGGCTTGTCTTCTGATTTCCTTGATCTGTTGCTTTGGTCTGGATTCTGTCTGTGCCCCCCTCACCCCTTTACTGCTCCCCTTCCTCCCCCTTCCCACCATTACCCTGCCCTCTCTACCTAGCTACTCTGCTGTATGTGGACATACCCTTTGGGACTCTATTTTGGCTGACTTATGGCCAACACCTTTATTACCAACAAGTTCTGGCTCAATGAGAGGAGAGACTGTATCATTCTTTGTCTTTGTTATATCCCCAGGGCCTAGTACAAGTGCCTGGTACATAGGAAGCACTTAATAAATGCTGACTGATTGATTGATTCACCTGCATGGAGATAAGAAGCTATGATATAGTAGAAAGGACATCAGGCTAGGAATTTAGACACCTGGATTCTGCTTATCTTTATGTTTCTCTTACAAATACCAAAGCACAAGTAAGCTTAGGTTTATTCCTAAGTGTCAAGTTTTTACATACACATACACATATGTATGCATATTAATTTTGAACTCAGAAGTAAACATAAGGTGTTTTATCTACTATCTATCTGTCCCTCTATTTATTGTTGATATATACCTATCCAAGAGACATTGTGACATAATGGATATCTAGCTGGCCTCCTAATTAGAGGAAGATATGGGTTCAAGTCCTGCCTTTGACCCATCCTATGTGATGGTGGATAATGCACTTAACCTCTCATTATTTTGGGCAAGTATAAGACAATGACTTATAGAGAAGGTGTTGATCTGCATTGGTAGAGGAAATTCCTTTGGGAATTCTTATACTCATGAAATCATAGGTCTGGTTATAGCTCACCTGCATTTTCATAAAAATGAATATCTATGGGGATGGGATGGAATTGGAACAGACCTATCATTTCGTATTTGTGTCTATATCTATGTCTATGTCTGTCTGTGTCTGTATCTGTCTATGTCTATCTGTGTCTGTATCTGTATCTGTCTATGTCTATGTCTGTGTCTGTATCTGTCTATGTCTATGTCTGTCTGTGTCTGTATCTGTCTATGTCTACGTTTATGTATGTCTATATATTTGTCTGTGTCTATATATCAGCAGAGGAGAATTCTTAGAGTCATCATGTTATCTGTTTATTGACAACTGGTGCCATGGTGTAGCAGGAAGAAAGATGAATCAGGAATCAGAGTTGGGTAGGAATCCTGACCCTTGTACTTATTAACTAATTGACCTTTGGCAAGTTACTTCACCTCACTGAAGCTCAGTTTCCTCATTTGTGGAGATGATAAGGTGTTGGACTTGGGCTGGAGACATCCTCTAAGGCCCCTCCATCAGAACTAGGAGCAACAGGTAAAACTCACAGATGGACAGATTTAGGTTCAAGATGCCATCCTAACCTTCCTTGAAAATCTCCCTAACAATCAGCTTTCCAAAAGCAAGATCGATTCCCATTCACTAGAGGTCTCCAAGCCAAGGCTGGATGACCCCTTAGCCAGTGGTTGTGTCTGGTGTAGATTCTGGATCAGGTGCAACTTAGACTTGACAGCCTTTGAGCTCTCTTCCAAGGCTGATTCCAATGTGATTTTTTTTTTATAGAACTTTTGTAGAAATTTCCCAGAATATTCACAGCCAGTATTTCATTGAATCCTCACTACAACAGTGTGAACTAGGGAGCACTGGTTTCATTAGCCCTGTTTTACAGATATAAAAACTGAGCTTCATAAAGGTTAAGTGACTTGCCCAAGATAACAAGGGACAGACCTGGGCCGATTGAATAGGATGTTCCATTAGCCCCTGAGAAGTGTTTCGAGAAACTTGTGGGCCTTCATCATACAAGTGCAGCCCAGACAAGATCCTTCCCCCAAGTTACTTTTTGTTTGTCTGTCTGTTTGTTTGTTTGTTTGTTTTACCCAAGCACCTGCCTCTTTCCCCTGCCTGGCTGGAGATCAGGGCAGAAAGTGGCTTCATCCCTGGGAGAGCTTGAGCTGATGGGATTGGTGGAGGTTAGGAGGGGCAGGTGCAGGTGCAGGTCTTTCTTGAGAGAGAGGTCAAATTGGCAGCTGTTTGACTCTCATCTCTCTGTGTGCATGTACACACAATATAACAGAACCACACAATCACATAATCATGCACAAAATTATACAATGTACAACATGCCAGACACTCACTTTCATACACCTAAAGTAACCTTTAGTTTTTCTGTACTTTTTAAAAAAAAGGTTTTTTTCTTTTTTTTAAATCAAGAAGGATAATACTTGAAGAACTTGAGCTGTTCCACTGATTCCCATTCAGAAAATCTTTAAATTTTCAAGTGCTGAGTTTCAGTTTACTTCAATAACCTACTGTGTACCAGACTCTGTGTTAGGCATGTAGGATACAAAAGCACCAAATTGTACCTTGCATAGTGTTGAGGAGATAGACCCGATTGCTTCCTGCCCTTTTTTAAAACCCCAATTTCTTATTTCCCCACCTCTAAGAAGGAGCCTTCATTCTAAACTTTGGTCTCAATACCTAATGTTGGGCACCCATCCTAACCCTTAAACCTGTATTCTCAACCCTTAGTTTTTATTCCTCACATAGACTCTTCTATTCTTAACCTTTTCCCTGCATCTTCCACACTGGGCCCATATCTGTATCCTTTGCCCTCCTCCTTAATATATAGTCTCCATCTTTATCTTGGTTTTTTGGTACTCAGGCCTCATCACTAATATTCAGCCTTCTCAATCCTTTATTTGCCTTACTCTGTCCCTATCCCTGGCCCTTGGGTCTCCATCCCTAACACTGAAAACCCCACCTGTGAGGAAATGCCTTGAGGTAAGAAGACACTCAAAGTGTCTGGAGACCCTCTGAGAGACAGGCAAGTTCTGTGGGCCCACTGGAGCATCAGATAGTAAAGGAAGGCTTGGATAAGACTGGCTCTTAACACCCCTAAGGAATGGATCAATTAAAAGGGCTAACAACCAGTAAGCCCAAACCAATGGAGATTTCCATGAAGACCAGAGACATCCATACTGTAATGAGATTTTTTTTATATTAAACATCTCCAATTGATTTTATTTTAACCCTTATTTTTCCTATAATGTCTAGCAGTAAAAATTCCCATAAATAAAAAAGGAAAAAGAAAAAGATCACATGTGTATTTTAGAGATACCAGGGTAAGGTCCAAGTTGAAAAATATATTTTCAAGTGATCAGGAGTAGAGAGTGACCCAGGTGCAAAAGTGGGTGGTGGTAACCAGCAACTGAAGGTTTCAGGGGAGAGAATCCTCTTCCTTTCCCCCTACCCCACCCCAGATAGACCAGGGAGCAGGCATCCTGGTGTATGGGGACAACAAAGAACAGTATACAATGCTGGATTGGAATCCCATTTAGTCAGTCAACAAGCATTTAAGTGCTTACTGTGTGCCCGAACCATGCTTTGTGTTGGCTACATGTATCACTTTGGGCAGGTGAATTCCCCAATCTGGGCCTCACTTTCCTTATCTATAAACTGAAAAGGTTGGACTACATGAATGATCTCTGAGGGTTTTTCTAATTCTAGGACTCGGTGACATTTAAAGCGAGGAGATTATGACAACAGGACATTAAAAACTATTCAGAAAGTCTGGTTCATGAAAAAAAAAGAATAAAAAGATCTTTGTTTAAATCGCGACTCTGACACTTGCTACCTCTTTGATCTTGGGCAAATTATTTTACTCCTGGCCTAGATTATGTCTGTGGTTCTTTCTAGAACCAAATTCTAGTGTCCCATGAGCAAGGCATTTCCATAGTTGTGGATACATAGCCCCTACATTTGGCATTTATTCCTCAGTCCCAAGCCCCCATCCCCATCATTGTCCATTTGTGACAAGTTCTCCCTCTTAACAATCATGAGTATTTAGCTTCTATCCCACCCACTTAATGTGCATACTGTGCCCCCATCCCCATCACTTTATTCCTGACATAGAGCCTTTCCAAACTCAACATAGAAATAAAGACCCCCAGTCCTGATAGTGCCTAGCAGAGGATTAGCACGCAGTAAACTTTAATTCTTGGCATTCAAGGGACAGATAGGATTCTGGAGCCCTGGAAAGCCATGTGTTTGGGGATGGGGGTTCTTAACTTCCAGGGTGCCCTCCCTTCTACCCCGACCTGAGGATCTTCACTCACCGGCATGGTCTGGCTGCCGTGCAGGGCATTAATGGCAGCTTGGGCCTCAGCATGGGAGGAATATTTCACGAAGGCACACCCTGGAGGGGATGGAGAGTGATCTGGTGAGAAAATGGAGTTCTGGACCCCATTCAGCCCAAACCCTGACCCAAAGGATGGGGAACTGGAGCAGAAGAGGGCACAGGGAGATACTTGTGGAGAGAGAGCCACAGACAGGAAAAGAGACACTGAGAGAGAAAGAAGCAGAGAGGGAGAGACAGAGACAGAGGCAGAGGGTACAGAGGTCCTAGCTAATATGTCAGCTCCAGACCCATTACCCACTCTGCCACTTGGTGGCATGGACAAAGGTATATTTGCCTCTTCTAAATTCTGTTTTCTATTCTTCAGGAAGCCTTCTCTCACCTATTTCCACCTATGGCTTCAACAGGGAAAATCCCCTGCCCAGTTCTGTCTGGCAGCAGTGAATTCTGCCTGTAGTTTTCCAGATGTGTCCCATCTCTCTGCGTAGCAGGAACCCCCTAAGGTGGAGGCCCCGTCTCCTACCTTTGCTGTTGCCATCTGGTCCCCGGAGGATAGTGCATTCTTCAATGTTTCCGAAGGCCTCAAAGAGCCGGCGGACATCATCCTCAGATTGCTGCTTGTTGAGCATGCCAACAAAGAGTTTTCTGTCTTCTGGAACAAAATGAGGAGATGCTTACCGGGGTTCCGACTGGGGAGCCCTCTGAGAACCGAGGGGGACTGACTTAGGAGGCAGGAGGTGTGATGCTAGAGATTCTCAATCTCAGATCACCTCACACCTCCACCTGTTCTGGGAGAAGGCTAGACAGCTTCATGAAAAAGCAGATGGATGAACTTAGATCACACCTGGGAAAGTGCTGCTAGGTTTGATCAGAGGTTCCAGATTCTCCTTCCCTCATTCATCACTCCCGGCTCAATGTGCCCTACCAAACCATCTCCTTCACTTTTCGCCACACTGCTTTTCAAAAGGATTAGCATTCCTTAGTTTCAAACATGATAATATAGGGTAGACCTTCAAGCACACACTTCTATACATCTTTCTCACACACCCAAGCATGCACGTGTGCGTGCACAGACATGTCCAAGATTGTGTACAGGCAGATTCACCACCCTCCCACATGGAATATAATTACATTTTCCCCAGGAAACCCAGGCGCAGTGTAGTTTGATGCCTGATCCAGTGATCAAACATAGCCTTCAGAGCAGAGAGGGCTTCATTCCACCTGTATAAATACCCATGTACAAGCATATACAAATGCACTCATGCACACTTACCTGCAAATACCCACACAACCATATGCAAACATGCAAAAATATGCCCCCCTATACATAGGTCTACAGGTGTACCCCAAAAGGCATAAAGAGCACATATTCAGGGCATATACCCCAACACATATACCCCAACACACAAGGGTACCTGGGGCACAAATGGACATATGGGTAGACAAGGGACTCAGGGGCACACACCCTCTGCAGGGAGTTATTTACTCTTCTTCCACTGGAAGCTAGTCCCTGAAGGCAGAACTGGTCCCTTGAACACACATATGCCCAAGCACCTGCATGCATGCTTTCTCTCCCCCATCCATCCATCATATTAGATGCACTGACTGAGGTCTGTTCAAAATGTGATAATGGCAGTGACAGAGAAATGCAGATAAGGTGTTTGTGCCTTTTTGTGCTCTCCTGACAAGCCCTGCTCAGAGCTGCCTTTTTTCTAGGAAGCCTTTGCTGATTGACCCCTACCCCCTTCATATTCCTTTTAGCCAACAGGGACTTTTGTATACCTTATGTGTAGCTTCTACTCCAACCCTCTCATTTTACAGATGAGAAAACTGGGGTAAAAGGTTGTTAAGTGACTTACTCTAGGTCACGCAAGTAATCAATATTAGAGGACCTCAGGCTGCTGAGCCAATACTCTTTTATACCAGGCTGCCTCCCCCATCAGGCTGTGGTGCTTATTTGCCCCTCCCCCAATACCTCCTTATAGGCTTGAGGGACAGGTGTTCTCCTCCTTGGGCAGATCATGGGCAGGTGCATTCTCTCAAGCCTGCTGCCCTGTTATAGTGGAAGCCCTTACATCCTAGATCTGAGGAGGGATCAGGAATCAAACTGGCCAGGAGAGAGATATATAGGCCAGCTGTGGACTGTTCAGGAGACATCAATTCCTGGAGCCTTAGAGACTTGTGTCTCATTCTCAAAGCAGGTCCTTTCCTAATCTAGGACCTTCTCTTTTTTTTAAATAGGGAGAATTTATTGTTTTTTTAATTTTTTATAGGCAATTGGGGTTAAGTGTCTTGCCCAGGGTCACACAGCTAGTAAGTGTCAAGTTTGTGGTCTGAGACCGGATTTGAACTCAGGTCCTCCTGACTCCAGGGCCAGTGCTGTAGCCACTGTGCCACCTAGCTGCCCCTCTAGTACCTTCTCTTGCAGGCTTCCTTCAAAATCTGGATTCCTTTCTGGTTTCACCAGGGTTGGGGTCAGGAAAGGTCTCCTAATGGAGAATGGGCATTTAGAGCTAGGTGTGGCTAGAGGAGAGGGACATGGATTGGTAGAAGGGAATGGCACACACATACTATATGGGGGGAGCCTTCTGCCAAGGTGGCCACTAGCATCCTGGTGGTCTGCTGAGCTCCCTTCTCCATCCTCAGATTGGCTTGGCCTCTGAGATATTACCCATCTCAGAACAGCAAAGCTAAGGACAGCTAGGGAAATGGACTGATGCAGGTAATGGGGCCAGGATGGAGGAAGAGAGGGGACAGCAGGAGGGGAAAGAGAGACAGAGAAAGAGAAGAAATAGAGTTAGAGGCAGAAAAAGGGAGATGAGACAGAAAGGACCAATAAAGAAGAGTGGAAGGAAGGGAGAATGGAAAGGCAGAGACAGAGAAAAGAGCCAGAGGTAGAAGAAAAAAATCAACATATTTTCTCTCTCAGAAGTGGTGATGACATTTCAGATCAAATTAAACTTGGGCTTTTAAAGACTTCAGTGGAGGTTATTGAAAGTGTGTGTGTGTGTGTGTGTGTGTGTGTGTGTGTGTGTGTGTGTGTGTGATGAATGTGTACTTCCCCCAACCCCAGGGATCAATGACTCTCCTCTCACCCAATGCCCCAGCCAGCCTTTGGGGCCAGAGCCTCCTTCTATTAAAGTTCTGATTAAATGGGATTTGCTGGAAGACAAAGAGGTGAAAACCTGCCAATTGCTAATCTCTCCCCCTCCTGCTTAAAAATTCCATTTCCTTCATTGGGAGAAAAAAAAAAAGGAAAAGAAAAAAGGGGAGAGAGAATTCTCCGCCTCTGCCTGATTTAAATTCTGGAGCTGCAGCCTTGTCCCCTTCTCCCTCTCCTGACGTCTGAATATATTCCTTTATTATCATTATTACAGCTTTCTGATTGCATTAAAATTCATCCACACGCTCCTCTCCACATTGCCACTTCTCTTTTGCCAGTTTTTTTTTCGCCAACTCTCTCTTCTACCCCACCCTTAACTCCCACCCTTACCCCCACTCCCCTAAACCTGCCTAGTACTGATAAAGTAACTCCTTGGGAGCACTTCTAAATTTGGGGCAGGGTTGGGCACTTGAACTCCTGCCCCTGAACTCTTCAGGGGTATGGATCATGAAGTACTTCTTTCCAGAAGGTTGTTCACAGAAAAAAACCTGGCTTCAAGGGCCTGCTCCAGGGAGCCTCCCTGGATAATGCTTATACAATTCTGATGATTGCTCTTCTTGGGATCCCCAGTGTGATCACTTGGCACTCTGCATGCATTGTTTGTAGACTGTTCTGTAAGAATTCTGATTTCTTGTGCTAGAAGTCTCTTGCATATGGGAGTTGAGGGCTCTCTAAGGCTGGGGACTTGTCTTCCTCAGAGGTTTTAGGGGATGGAGATTAAGGCCAAGAATGGCTAGGGGGACAGGCAAACTGTCTCTGGCTGGTTTTGTCTATTGATGAACATTAGGAATGGACACAGCCTTGGGGATAAGGAGATAGAAAAGCTTTGGAGCTGGAGGAAGAGGATCATGGCAGCTGGGACCTCTCCTCACTCATATACAAGAACCCAAGATAGACAGCCTTCATATTCCCTCTTTTCAACACAGTGCCTCTTCCAACTCACACTGTGAGAGCCACCAACCACATGCATGCATTGGGATGAATGCTGCCAATAAAGCCAAAGCTTGGGATTTGAACTCCATCCTGGCCAATCAGTTTCTTGCCTACCAAAACTCCATTCTTTGGGCTCAGAGAAAGTCTCTAAAATCTTGGTTACCGACTGACCCACCTAATAGTGGGCATAATCTATCCCTTTAACCCCACTGGCTATCTCACAGACCTTGTGCACTGGTCATGAGGGGGACAGTTCAGTATAGTACATCCCCACACCTGGAAATTCAAGTCCACATTGCACTGATAGGGGTCAGACATCATGACCTTTCATCAAAGTTGCCACATGTTAATTCAGTGCAAACATGGGCAGAGGTGAATTGATGATGCTAGCCTCTTATCTTTGATATCTCCATTTACATATATGCCGGCTTGCTCAGCATAGGTTAAGAAGACATCAAAGGAACAGCTACCACTGCCCCAAATTACCTTGTTTCCATTGAACTCATCAAATTACAGAATCTCAAAGTTGTAAGAGATGTCAGGGGCCATCCAGTCCAACCTGGGGCTGGATTAGAAGTTTCTCTACGGGGTACCTGACAAGTGGTCATCAGCCTTTACTCAAAAAGCTCCAGGGAGAAGGAGGCAGCTCATTCTACTTCTGGAAAGCTGTGTTTGTTAGGACATTTTTCATTACCTCAAGCCTAAATTAACTTCTTTGAAACTTTCTCCCTATTGTTGCTGGGGCAACAGGACCATACTTTCCTGCTTTCTGAGGCCAAACAACACAAGTCTATTCCTTGTGACACATGGTAACCCTTGAAAGCAGTTATTGTAGGGGTGACTAGGTGGCACAGTGGATAAAGAGCAGGCGCTGGAGTCAGGAGTACCTGAGTTCAAATCCAGCCTCAGACACTGACTAGCTGTGTGACCCTAGACAAGTCACTTAACCCCAATTGCCTCAAAAAAAAAAGCAGCTATCATGTCCTTCCTAGGTCTTCTGACCTCCAGACTAAACATTCTTAGTTTCTTCGGCTGGTCCTCACTTGGCATGATCTCAGGGCCCTTCACCATCCTTGTTGACAACACCTAGATCTACTCAGCTTCCTCAAATGGGATGCCCAGAACTGATCACAATGTACCTTATGTGGTATGACAAGAGCAGAGTAGAGGGAACATCACCTCCCTAGGCCTGAACCCTGTATGTCTTTTCAAGCATCCTAAAATCATGCCTTTTTGGTTCTTGTATTGCACTGTTGATTCATAGTGGGCTCGATGTCTGCTTCAATGCTCAAGTATTTTCTCGGATGAACTTCCATCTAGCCATGCCTCCCTCATCTAGCACTTGTGATATTGATGTTTTGGGCCCAAGTGTAAGATTTTACATTTATCCCTATTAAATGTCATCTTAATATAGAGTCAGCCCAAAGTTGTAGCCTGTCAAGTCTTTTTAGATTCTGATTCTATTACCTAGGGTATTAGCTATCCTTTCCAGCTTTTTCGTTACCTGCAAATTTGATAAGCAAGTTAGCTGTACATTAATTTAAATAGCTGGTAAA